TGAAATTATAGACATAGTGCTTATTAATTGTTTGTCATTGGCTTATCATATAATTTATAATCAGCTGGAGCAGATTGGTCTTCTTATGAGATGTCACATTTCTGTGGCAATAATAAAGAATTGTTTATCATTTGATAAGATATAACAAAGAAAGAGAAAGAAAAAGTTCAGAAAAAGAATATAAGTTTGAATAAATTGAGAGCAGTTTCTGAAAATTACGATTTGGAGGAGGAATTTTGAATGATATAGTTATGTTACCTGATTGATATAGAAAAATACAGTTAATGATTCCATTTTGTTATGTGAGTTGCCTATAATGTTTCAGCAAGAAAATTCTAAGAGGGAAGGGGAGAGCAAGGGAGGGGGAGAGGGAGAGGCAGAGAAAGAGAGAGAGAGGGAGAGAGAGAGACGAAGTTTGAGTAGATTGTAGGACAGTCCTTTTAAAATTACAGTTGTGAATTTTGAATGATGTAGTTATGTCACCTGATTGATATAGAAATATACAGTATAGGATTTCTTTGTATTATATGAATTGCCTATAAATTTTGTACTTGGCAGAAGCAGGAATAATGGTTGCAGGTATTATACTTGGTTTTAGGTGTGGAATAATACACAACATTTTTTTATGAATTCAAAAAGTATATCATGAGGATTCCCCGAATTTTTTTGTGTGAAGTTGTGTGAAGACTGTTTATTGTAGTTGTTGTTATTTAATTTCATTGTGATATTCTTCTTGCAGGAAGTAAGTCAGTAGTATTCTTAGTGCTGTCAAGGTTATACTTTGTTTTATGTGATTTATTATAATGTGACAAAATTGCCATCTTCCCTTTGCAGCGAGTGAGTGCCATAAAGCCCTTGCATCAGTTCCTGCTTGTAGGCACGGGATTCCACACACTGAGCCTTCTGGGGACAAGCCTAGTGGAGGAGGAGCACCAGACTGTCTACTTTTTACTCAGTAGCCTCCACGTGGGCTTCATCATCAGCCTTGTCATCCAGATCAAGCGCAAGGTGCTTATGAGGACTCACTCTGGCTCAGGTTGGCACGGCTCGGACAGCTTCGATGCTGGAAGGCACAAGATGGATGATGATGACGTGGATGAGGATGTAACGGAGTTGCCCACACGGATTGCGGGAAGAGGTTCAGAAGGAGGCACGTGGATGCAGACCCTGCGAAGAACACCCGTCAAGCTGCTTCTTTTGTCGGTGGTGAGCCTGTCCCTGAGTCGCCTCATGAGGTCATGGAATTCCACTGGGGACAAGTGGAAACACCTGGAGGACCTAGGCGATGGGATACGTGCTGCTGGGGGCTATGTCCTTCTTGCAGTGGTTCTGGCAGGTCTGGTTGTGGCAATCTTCATGTTCTCGCAGAACTGCCTGCCCCTCGTGCTGGTTGCCTGTGCATGCATCTTTGGCCGCCACTTCCCACTCAGCTCCTCAGGGGGTGTCTTGGAGGCCCAGTTCACACACTTTGTCATTATCATCCTGTTTGTGTATGGACTGCTGAAGGCAAAACTCATTGACTTTAAGACCCCCAACTCTAAGACCAAGAGCAACCTGGATGTGTTCGAGCCGGAGGAGGAGAAGATGACTGTATTGCTCAGGTACAGTGTGACGGCTCTAAGCCTGCTGTGTCTTCTCCTCCAGAGAGCAGACAACATAGGGCTCTTGGCTCTGGTCATGTTGCAGAACTACATCATGTCCTCTGTCTTGTGCAAACTTACTGGGACTGGGTTGATCTCTTCGGGTGCAGCTGCCCTAGCAGTCAACTGGCTTGCGTTTGCTCATTTCTTTTATCAGGTAAGTTATATGGAGTATTGCTTTTACTTCCATTATTTTTTAATTTGATAAAATTATCTTGAATGATGAGAACATATAATACGATGGGAAATAATGTTCACTTGTGGTATGAGTGTTATAAAGTACTTGGAAAAACGCTCATGATACCCTTAACGAATTTAGTGTTTTGATGTTATTTTTAAAATGTTATAGCTCTCATCGTCATGTATAATGAGTTTATTTATGTTAGCTTGGTTTGTGAATATAGAAAGAATATGAATTTCTGAGCAGTGCTTAGATAAAAAATCTGGATATATATCTATTTATATTTGGTATGTAAAAAAAAATATTTAACAGGGTAACAGTAATAGCCTGGCCACCATAGACATCAGTGCTGGCTTTGTGGGCGTCACCAGCTATCGCCCTTTCGTTCATGGAGCTCTCATTGCGACGCAGACTTTCGGAGGAACTTTCCTCACCTATCTCAGCTACCTCATGCACATCATCTCGAGGGATGCGCAGAAAGAGAGGTATGTGTGCAGTGGCAAGGTCCTTGATGTTGGTATCTAAAGTTTGGACTTTTCTGTGGGGATTGTTTCCTTATACTTTGTGTGTGACTGTGTGGATGTTGTCTGAATTTTTTCTTTGTTATAATTCTGGTTATTTTTGGGAGGAATGTAAAAGGTATCCAATTGTAATCAATTTTCTTTTTGTTTTGTCATTCTGTATGCATGCATTGAATCTTTCTGTCCATATGCATATCAGTACTTAGTAGTAGTGAAAATATCAAATTGTTATATGGAGAGGGAGGTTCAATTTTTACATGTAGATGCTTTGAACTTTACCAACAGCCCAACAGACATCATGCATCAACCCTTATATTGACTTGATATTTCTTGAGCTTGCATGGCGAGGCTGAAAGATGCAAATGAGAATGAACAGTTTCACAAGACAACATGTGTAATTACTATTTTGGTATTACCTTCATCAGAATAACATCATGGCAGTAACAGAGTCAAAAGATTAATCACAAAACTTGTCTTTTAAGATTATTAATTCTGATTCACATCTCTTTAACTATGAGTAACATTCTTGCTCAATTTCAGATGGCAGTATCCCTTGTTTGTGTGGTGGACTGTAAGGCTTGCCACCGTGAGTCTCTACCTGGTCAACGTCACCTTCCAGCGGCATCACCTCTTCATATTGTCAGTGTTCACGCCAAAGCTCTTGTATGAAGGGGCTCACTTGCTTGTTCTGTGTGTCCTCACCTTGTTCATGTGGAGTGTCGAAAAGATCTGCACGGTGTTGGAGGTAAGTTACAGATTTGAGTAAGGAAGTGGGAAGTTGAGTTGAACAGAGGAGGAGGAAGGTCAACAAGGTCTATGAGGAAATTTTCTTTTGAGTTGAGTTGAAGTGACAGGGTCTCTTGGTGTAAATGAAAATTTTGATTCCTATAGTCCCTTTAATATTAGGAGTTGTCTCTTGTGGGACATATGGAAGGGTAAGAGTGGGAATGTTAATGGATGATGAAAGAAGAAATGGTTGTGAGTTTCTGTGCATCCTGCGCTTTTATTTTTATTGTCTAGTCCTGTACAAAGTTCATGCAAAGGAGTAAGATGATGTACATATTGTATTGAATTCCATTTAATGTCCCTCTTTAATACTGTTAACTTTTAATAGGAGGTTTAATAAGCCTGATAGCTTCTTTTTGTTGTGAATATTTATAATCCAGGCATTCTCAGAAAACTACTTATAAGCCATAAAGGTTATGGAATGTGATGGACTAGATAGAAATGTTTGCCTAAATAGAGCTAATGTTTCTTACTTGAAATAATTCTTTGTCTCAAATAGGGGTCACAGTAGTGTGCAGAGGTCAAGCATTTGATACTTTTTATATGAATTATTTGTTTTTAAGTCTTCATTGTTGGAAATATTAATGCCATTAGATGTGAGAAGAAAAATGGTTGTTGTGTTGTGCATTATTTTTGGCTTGTACGTTTTTATGTGATTAAGTTTTTACTATGCAGCATTGTGCACATTGTGTTGGCTTATATTTGATTCATCATCATTCTTTATGTAAATTATGCTTGATTGGCAAATATCTATAATTTCTGATAAATGTCCAAACTACGAATTGATTTGTGAATCTTCTGTGCAAGTAATTTAAAGTTTTTAATACCTTGAGGAGAATTCTTTACACCTGCTAATTAGGCAGTTTCTTAATTCCCAGACATTGCAATTAGAGTGGTGCTCATACCTACCCAGAAACCAGTTATGTGTTTATCATCTTATAACAATTAGGAATTAAATGTTGTGTTAGGCTTTAAAAGATAATTCCACAAATTGTTTTTATTTTGACATTTTATTCATTTCCCAAAGTGTTTTTATTAATAGTAGTATTCAAGTTATATGGTCAAATTATTTTCTGTGAAGGATGTCCTGAACTCATTTCTTCATTTTGAATAAAAACAAAAGTAGCAGCTTATAAACATATAAGGAATTTAAACTACGATATAGTCAGTGAGGCTTTGATATCATAGCAAGCTTTTTAAATTAGATCAGTGAACTTTGCACGTGTAGTACTTTTTTATCTCTACTTTCTTGTGAATATTGTATCTATTTTGTGATAATTAGAATAGGAATTTTAGACAGCTAGACAACATATATTGAGCACATAGAGATTTAACATTTCTAATCCCATTGGCTGTGCACTTTATGTATAATTCTTACAATTATTATAACAAAGGAAAAGGAATTTAAAGATATGCTGTGTCTTGTGGTTTAACATAGGATTTACAAGTAGGTAATCCATTTTCTGAATCTTGTTGTATCTGCTACATGCTACAAAATATTTAATTAACATTTCAGAATTATATATTTGTGGATGTAAATTACACAACTTACACAATGATAATATTACTTATTATTATTTTTTCTTTTGGAGTGATAAAGCCAGTGTTGTATTTAGGAGTAGGGTTATTTTTATAGACATTTTCATAGAATCTAGAGATCTTTGGGAACATATTTTTGTTGAATTGTTAAAAAGGTACTGTGTTACTGTTGTCTGTTTGATGAACCTTATTCATGTTGACAAATGTAGAAAAGTGTGAATGAGAATGAATACATCTCTTGTATTGTTAAGATAGTCATTCTCATTCATACTTTTCTATATATGTTGTTTGATTCAAACGTTCAAACTTTTTATGTAGAAGAAAAATAGGATT